GAGGGGGAGGCGGCGGCCAAGAGGGAGCATAGTCGCCCTCACAGCTCGCAGGCGGCGGCGGCTCTTAGCCTGCCGAGGCGGTGGGGGTCCCTCGCGCAGAAGCCGGCGACTCCGCGGGGCTGGCGGCGGCGGCGGACGAGGAGTCTACTGCCATGGCCCCACAGTCAGGGCCGCTCCCCCCGCCGGCTTGGCGGGACCAGGATGATGCGTCCGGGGAGCCAGAGAGGGCAGATGGAAGACCCGCAGGGCTCCCCAGCCGCCAGCGACTGAAACGCCTGCCCAGCCGGTCAGAGGAGTCGGGGGCGTGGCTTCAGTGGGCCACGCCCCTCCCCTCAAGCCCTCCCTCATAGCAGCCAATCAATAGTCAATCCTTAATCACCGAGGTGGTGAAACTGACCAATTAGTGTCCGGAATGCCACGTGGTCTGAGGGTGGGCACAATGGGCGTCGAGAAAAGCCAATCAACAGCCCGAGGCGCCAACTCTGAGGAGGAAGGGAACCAATAAGAAGGAAGTGGAGGTGAAAACAGAAGAGGCAGTGTGCTGGAAAGGAGGAACGGGGCGGAGGGAATGCACCTGGGGGAAACCCCAGGCCGAGAGCCTCGCTGAAGGCGGGACAGTAAACACAAAATAGACCAATCGAAATTCCAAACACCTCAAAGAGTGCTAATTAACAAACCCAAAGAAAATGTATTCGATTGGCGCAGCTTTTGGGTTGGTGAAAGTATAGTTGGGTAAGACTGTTTAAGGAAAAGTCTTGTGAACACAGCCTCCTGCATCTCAGCATAGTGGAAGCGGGTGGGAAGGGCCGGCAGGGGGGAAACTGTTACATAAACAATTACTGTGTTAACACGAGAGATAGTAACAGCAATGGATAGGGTTAAACAAAATGCTGAGGGAGCAATTCATCTAGGTTAAGAGATTAATTCTGGTGAAGACTACTTAGAGGAGGTAACACTTGAGTTGGCTTGAAAACGGAGGATTTTGAAAGAGCTGGGTAGAGACTAAAATTCTATTCAGCTGTTCATCAGGCACACATTTCTTCATGCTTTCCATATGCCTGGACCTTGGGCACTTATAACCTTTTTTTATTGAGCCCGCTGGCATGGCTCAGTGGTTGAGTGTGGACCTATGAACCAGGAGGTCACAGTTTGATTCCCCGTGCCTAGTTTGTGGGCTCAATCTTCAGTGGGGGGGGGGGCGTGGAGGAGGTAGCCAATCAATGATTTTTATTTATTTCAGAGAGGAAGTTAGAGGGAGAGACAGAAACGTCCATGATCAGGATGCCTGGAGTTTAGAGTTCACCTTTCTACATATTTAGACTTGTCTCCTAGACCTGCTGTCAAGGGTCTTGACAGATGAGTGGAATTTGAATACAGCAGAATCTTGTTTCACTTTCTGTGGTTTCAGTTACCCATGGTCAACTGTGGTCTGAAAAAATTAAATGGAAAATTCCAGAAATAAACAATTCATAATTTTTAATTATAGCCCAGGGGTGGGCAACCCCTTGGCACACGTGCCAAACATGGCACGCCAGTAACTTTTGCTGGCACACGAAACCCTCTTATAATCTCCCATTTACAATTTTTGTGAACATGTGAATGACTTAAATGTTAAATTACAAGGAACTGGCAAGACACTTGATGTTATGTTTGGTTACATAAAGGCTTTTGAAAAGAAACTGGAAGTCTTTAAGAGGGATGTGGATGGTGAGAGATTTAGATATTTCCCAAACCTCAAGAGGCACATTCAAAGACCTCCCAAAAGATGACAGAACAGACTGTCAAAGCCTTCAAACGCTGTTTTTAAACATTGAGTCAACTATTGAGCAGTTGTTCTCAAGATTTGCGAAATTCAGAGAACTGGAAGAGACAGCAAAATTCATGAGGTTTCCAGACAGCATGAAACTGGAGGAACTAAACTTACAAATGTTTTCATGGATAGACATGGCTGACTTTGAAATGCAGTTGACTGAATTTCAGAGTAGCTCAATTTGAAAGCAGAAATTTATTGACCTTAGAGTTGACTTGGAAAACATTGGAAAAAAGCGATTAGAGACAGGAGTACCAGAGAAAAGTGTCGAAAACAAACTATTGAGGACTTGGAATGCCATTCCAGAAAATTTTTTCTGTTTAAAAAACTTTGCAACAGCATTACTTTCCATGTTTTCATCCACATTCGCTTGTGAATCTTTGTTCTCAGTGATGAATTTTGTTAAGTCTCGTCATAGGAGTAGCCTGACGGATGAAAGTAGTAGCTCGTGCATATCTCTGAAGGTCACGAAATATAAACCTGATGTAAAATCTCTGTCATCAGTGATGCAGCAGCAAATTCCCACTGATAATATCAAACGGAGTCATAAAGTTTTCTGTCGGACTATCAGTGTACATGTATACATTAAAAAAAATGTATTTTTCATCATCATATACTGTGTTCTTGTCGCTCGAATGAATTTTATTATTTCTTCAAGGTTCTTCACATACGTACACCTTAAGAGATATCAAGTAGGCGTAACATGTTCTCAAAAAATTAGGGTTGGCACGCAGAAGAATTTTGAGTCAGAGATTTTGCTGGTTTTGGCATGCACTCACAAAAAGGTTGCCCACCCCTGTTATAGCCATTCTGAATAGTGTTATGAAATTTCATGTAGTCCTGCTACATCCTGCTGGAATGTGAATCATCCCTTTGTCCAGCATATCCATGCTGCATATGCTACACACTTGCTGGCTAGCCACTTAACAGCCATCTAGGTTATCAGATCAACTGATAAGTGCTTGCGTTCAAGTAACCCTTAATAATGTCTCATTCACCTCATTTCATCTCTTCACATAGGAATTTTATAATCTCACATCACAAAAAGGGTGAGTACAGTACAATATTTGAGAGACCACATTCACATAACTTTAATGACAGTATATTGTCATAATTGTTCTATGTTATCAGTTGTTAATCTCTTACTGTGCCTAATTTATAAATTAAACTTTGTTATAGATATGTATGTTTAGGAAAAAACATAGTATACACAGGGTTTTGTACTCTGTGGTTTCAGGAATCCACTCAAGGTCTTGGAACATATTCCCCATGGGTATGAAGAGATTATTATAGTTGGAATATAGGTGATGTGCATTCTTGTAGCAATAAAATTTTTGGTAGAGGATAAGAATGGAAAGATAAGAGGTTTAAACGTGGGTTGAACTTCAATACCAAATTTGTCCTTTCTTTTTTTTATGTGTATAAAAGATTCCTGAGCAGGAGAGAAGCCTTAATAGGACACTGTTTTAGGAAGATTAATTGTTAGCTCACAGGATCTCTGAAGGAAGAGCACTGTAGCCTAGTCCTCTTGGCCAGAAACCTTTTCTGTATTATTCTTCTGGAAACAGGTCATATGCTGCCACCTGGTGACGGTTCAAATACCATTGATCCACATAGCTATTAAATGTTTCTGCTGTTAAGAGCTCTGGCACCCTTGCAAACATATCTTCCACAGAGCCCGATATGATATAAAGTAGCTGATAAAGAAGTAGAGCACTGGTAGTAAATAGAACTAATTGAATAATGCCACCATGCCAGATGTATCACCTGACCAGTAAAAGATTTAACAATAAGGAATTCCTTATACCTGGTTTAGCAGGAAGGTGAGTCTTGATGGAAGTTTTTTGGTTTTGTTTTTTTAAAACAGATTCTGTTTGACCCAGGCCTGATCTCTACCATCCCACTCTCAGCAATCTCCCTAATGCTGTGGGGTAAAAACCAAGGAATGCCTTATTTGGGTATCAAAGACCACTCTTCATGACCTGTCTGCTAATTATTTCAGGGCCTTGAATGCACCCATGAAGGAAATAGTTTCTGCCATCAGTCTTTTATGATGCTTTTATTTCAGATAACTGTTTCCTCTTCCCAGCTGGACTGAGCTAAGAAGTGGGACTTTTACATGAGCCCACCGCATATCTTAGCTCAGGCTAAATACACACTAGAACTGGTATGTATTATGCTCAACAAACATCAACTTGAATGAATGGCATTATCGTTTGGCTATATTTAGCAGTGGAAGAGATCTTATGAGACCTCAGTGAGATGCTATTGCTACTAAGGAAATCCTGAACTGCATTGTCTAAAATACAAAGCCCAAGTAAGGAGAAAGTAATGTACCCATAGTCTACCTAGGAAAATATATTTTCCAGAGAGCAACCAATGGTGGAAGGATCATTAAAAACATTTTTTAATATAATAGGAAATATCAAAGGGCATCACTCCTAGTAAGCATAAGTATTGAATCATTAGATTTGTTTCAGTTAATAAGTATATACACTGAGTGGCCAGATTATTATGACCACCCCATCAGGACAATGAAGTGAATTAGTTATGCAAATAATAATATTAATAAAACCTTGAGAGTATTTGCTTAGGAAGTTTTCAATATTCAGTATTTTTGGAAGTGTCAATGAAGTACTGATGAGGTGGTCATAATAATCTGGCCGGTCATAATAATCTGGCCACTCAGTGTACATCTATATTTACTAAGCTATAATGTAACCTATTTCTTACTGGAGGTCACAGTCCAAAAAATTGTAAAACCATTGGATTAGAGGCAGAGAGACTGAAAGGAGACCAGGAAGTAGACTGCTACAGAAGCGTAGCCTGGACTGCTTAAGGATGAAGAGGTGTGGAAGGGCTGGAGTAAGCCTCAAGAGCAGAAGTGGAGACAAGGAGAGAAAGCCTCCTATTACGGTCCAGGACCCACTAGAATGTCTCCTCCTCCCCTGCATCCCCACAGCAGTACTGCCCCAGAGCACTGTCCTACCTCTCCCACCAAAATGAGAGCTCCCACCTCCTTGCAAGTTCTACTGAGCACAGGGTTTGAATTCAGAAGGTACAGATATAAATGTCTATGAACTTGGATTTCTGAGGGAGAGGTGGTAGGAAGTAGTCATGTTACAGGAGGAAAAAAAGGTACAGCTGAGTCTATCCCACGTGGGTGCTGATTCACAGAAAACACATCAGGGTGGGTTAAGCCATTTTACTGCAGTTGGTGGACAGGTGAGCAGGCAGTGACAAGCCTCAGTAGGGAGGGCAGAAACCAGCTAGATCAAGAGGGTAGGGGCAGGGAGCCCAGAAACCGGGCCTTGGAGGGGAAGGTGAGCAAAGACTTTATCCTACTACTCTGACACGTCCTTACAGGTCACTCAGGAGTATCTTGGAGCCATTAAAGGATAGGTCCTCCTGCTCAAGGCCCTGGACCTGGAGCTGAAAGTTGCTGGGTTCCAGGTTAGAGAGGGTACTCTTCTGGAGATCTAAGAGGAGAGAAAGGAAAGACAGAACAAAACCATCAGCAAGCACTGGGCTTGTCTGTTGGAGAAGTACATATAGGCCTGACTTGGGAGAAGTAGCAACAGAGGCCGATGGATTCACAAATGAAAAGGCAGAGACTCCATACTACCTGGTATCAAACAATTAGGCAGGTGGCATTCAGGCATCATTTAGATTCAGCCTTCCCCACAACTGGGATCCCTGCCCTTATCCTCACCCAATTTCTTTAAAAGTTCCCAGCTACTGTTGTTGTCCTGATGACTGACTTCAGAGCTAGATGAAGAAAGAGACATGGCAAAGGTGGCAGCCAGGGGTAGCTTCGACTCAAGGACGTGAACAGAGGTCCTGGAAAGGGAAAGAAATGGTGATGGTGGGTCAAAGGGGCCCTTCCAGCATGGAACTGTCCTCCTTCCTGAGGCCAGAACTCACAATTTATCTTCCAAACATATAGATACCTCACTGATTCCATATCAAATAAAGAATACCCAGTACTGCCCTTTTGGGCTGTAACTCAGATACTTATGCTGCCCCTATTGGCCCATGTCAAATATAGGAGAGCTGAATTTTGGTCCCCAATTCCTGGCCTCTGTAAGACAAATCCCTTCCACTGACACAGGTACCCACACCCCCTGACCTGAGGAGGTCATGCTCCCGCCGGGCATCCTCAGCCTCTGTCCTGGCAGCCTCCTTGCCCTCCTGGCCACTCTGCTGCTGCTCCAACATCTGCCAGATTATGGTCCCAGGTAGAACCAAACCTCTCCCTCTCCAGGAGAAACCCCCCTCCCCATAATTGGAGGAGAGGGCTTAGGAAGAAGAGCTTTGAAGGGAGGTGAAGTCATCACAGGAAGAGGAAGAGATAGGGATGGGAAAGAGTATCCTGGCCTGCCTGCAGAACAGGATATACAGAGAAGGGAGGGGCCACAACAGGAAGTTATGAAGGGATAAGTTCAATCCTGGTCCTACCTTCCAGCTGCGGGCCTGAACTTGCTGCCCCTCAGCCATCTGTTTCAGCATCAGCTCCTGATGCTGGGCTGCAGATGAAGGAACATGTAAGAAGGCTGTTCTCTAATGTCCAGCTTGTGGGCTCAATCCCCAGTGTGGGGCATGCAGGAGGCAGCCGATCAATAATTCTCTCTCATCAGTGATATTTCTATCTCCCTCTCCCTTCCTCTCTGAAATCAATAAAGTTTTTTTTTTTCTTAAGAAGAAGGCTGTTCCCCAACTTCTTTACTTCTTCTTCCCTGACTTGTTCCCAGTCTGGTGCTGAAAACTGAGATAGAAGCATTCTGGTCCAGCTGATAGCAAGTTTCCAAGCTGACTGGGGAGAGTAGGATCACACATTTGGAGGCAAAACAAATACTTGGCCAGACTTCTGAGTAGCTCAAGCATTTAGAGCTATGGCCATTTACTGGGAGAATAAGAAGGCTTTCCAGAAAAGAGGACAAGTGAACCTCCCTCCGTCTTTTACTCACTCAGCTGATCCCGCAGCAACTTCAGTTCCTCCCTCAGAACCTCTGACTCCTCCCATAGCAGTTGCCTCCTACAGGGATGACAGCAGGTTCATTCTAAAAAGCCAATCAAGAAACCCAGAGGAGGCTACCAGAGTACCTGGAGTTCAAAGGCCTGAAGAAGAGGTCTTGCCATCACTTACTCATTCTGCACCTCTTGGTGAAGGCCACTGGTAACACTGCACTTTTGTGGACCTGCTTGTATTTGGGCTTGGGCCTGTTCCTGCACCTGGCTTCGAAGGCCCCTCAGTTCCCTTCTCAGCCGGTCCAGGCATTGCTCCAGGAGAAGAGTCTTCCGCTCTGGGCCCCCCTGCAGCAACTTTAGTGATGCTATAATAGGACAAGTTGGGGGGTCAACCCCTCTAAGAACTTCACACATGAGCCTAGAGACTACACTGTGAATCAAGATACAAATGCACACACAACAAGTGTGCAAAAGAATTGTTTGCATATGTATGAGGCTTTGTGTATGAAGAAAAGAACTGGCCAGATACCTTCCAGGGCACAGATTTGGTACTTCTGCTGCTCTTGCTCTTTCAGCAGGCCCTGCACAGTTTGTCTTAGTGCCTCAGTCACCTACCCAGGCAGAAAACCACATGAGCTACTGTGATACCCCAACTCCTGGTATCCTTGTCTCACACAAACACCACATATACACACCTAGGATTCCAAGCCTCACCTGACCCTGGGATCGTAGCTGGGATCTAAGAATAGTAACTTCATCCCGGAGAGAAGATGTCCTATGGACCTCAGCCCAATTTAGCCTCTCTGGAACAATAGGAGTCTCTAGAGCCCAAGGCTGTTGAGCTTGGGCTCCTGGTTGGGGAAGCAAGTGATTAGGGGGAATCCAGGTCCCAGTCAGATCTCCTGCTGAGGAAATAAAGAAAGGACAAATGCAAGACTTAGCGCGGGGGGGGGGGGGGGGGGGTGTCTGGGACAAAATTTTTTTCAAAAAAGAAAAAATTTGGCACCCGAAGGGAAAAAGGGAGGGACAGGGCCCTGGAAAAGAAAAATCTGAAAAAAAACCCGAAAGTGGGTAGAAAAAG